AAAAAAAAAAAAAAAAGTTAACAATTAAGCAAACAGTTTCCAACTTTCATTTCTTTTAGCTCTAATAATAACTAATATGAAGAAAAAATACTGAACAAGCAATAAAACTATTTTCTGCAGTTTCACATCTGCCTTCCACTCTCAATTCTTTCTACTTCTGTTCACCCTTATAAAAAAAAAAAAAAAACATCTCTCTATTCTTCAAAAACTACAAGTTAAAATATTTTGACAGAGAATAGAATTGACAAAATCTGATGTAATAAAATCAAAGCAAAAACAAACTTTGTTCCACCATTTATAAACTTAACCATAAATTACAGAATGATATAAGTGATCTTTTTCAGCGTTTTATTTGTTTATGCTATCTAAACTGATTGATGAAAATTTTAAGTTGAAATTTTTTGTCATCATTTGTCATTTATTAAACCAAATATAACAGTTTTGTTTGAAAAAGAAAAAAAAAGCAACAGCAAAAAAGCCAACTCTTTGAGAAATAGTCATAAAAATAGTGAAAAGAATTGTATCTAATCAAAACCAAAGAATGTGTACAGGCGAAAATATTTTTCCTGTTAGAACCGAAAAAAAGAAAAAAAAGAAAAACTGGATTAAATATTTAGTTTAATTATGGCTCATCATTCAACCTTGTATAACAGCAGAACAGATAAGTTTAATTAGACAAATTGATGCTTACTGTCCTATACGAAAACAAATTATCAATGCTAACAGTTCCGTCTCCAAAGCATCACATCCATTAAATAAACGTTCCAAAATAATTACCAAAAATTATTTCTTTTTTTGAATTCTTAGCAAACTTTCGAAATGCTTGAAATGTTCAAAAAAAAAAAAAAAAAATTGTTTAGAAAAGTAAAATTAAAACAGGAAGTTTTAAATTGTTTCTACCTCTCAACACCCCACCCCCCCAAAAAAAAAAAACAATTACGACAAAAAGTAATTTCCATTGTTTTTTTTTTTCGCAGCACTTATTCTTTTTCCAAATACCTAATAAAATTTCTTTTTCAAACAATTTACTTAAACTGATCACAAAGCTTTATTCAAAAAATTTTCAAATTAATGTTAAGATTAAAAAAAAAAGAGGCAAAACGAAAAAAATGTTTTTATCAAAGTTACTATAAACTTTTACACACCTAAAACAGTTTGAAAAAACCTATAAATCAGTGCTATTTTCATCAGCATAGAATTTTAGTTTCTGCTCTTCAATTTCTTACTTACTCCTCCACTTAAATAGCAAAATTAATGATAAAATGAAAAAAGGCATAAGTGTTAAAGAAATTATGTAATGCGCGATTAGTTCACTACCAACCAAAATGATCATTAAACGTTTCAGCGATTTCGTGAACACTCAAATTAAGCTGCAAAAAAATTAAGTCCCATTAAAAACCCGATTACTTATTCATATTCATTTTTTACTACCCAAAATTCCGCAATCAACAGTGAGACCAATTTTTCACAATTATAGTAAAATAGTACAAATTATAACAATAAAAAATTATTCGCTACAAAATTTTTAACAGAATAAAATTGATAAAAGAAACTTTTTATGTGTGATCATAAATCAGCCTATTATGACCACTGACGACAGATAAGTTAATGTCAAAGTGTCCAGAAACGAACAAACCATTTCGGTTACAATTTCAAGAAAATAAATATAAATATTTGTGGAGAACACTAATGACAGAAAGAAGTAGGCAATAAACTAAATTTTGTAGGTATAAAGTGAGCTGAACCAAATTTAGAAATTACTATAAAAGTCTACTATCAAACTACAACTTTCGTCTGTCCAAAAGCCATACTACTTTTCCCTTTAGTTTTATCCATACACCTAGAATATTGTTTTCCTTCCATAGAGAAACTAGACCAATTTTAAACCTCCCTCAAAATTAAAAAAACAGTAAAAAAAAGCCTAAAGTTGTTCGACCAGTTAATTACTCACTTTCAAATGTATCAGCGAACAGAACAACAAAAAATGATGGCTTCTGAAAAAAAAAAAAGATTAGAGAAAGGGAAGGGAGGCTTCTATTAAGCAGTAACAAACGACAGCATTTAACAAAAGACCGTAATCGATCAAGTGAAAGCATGAAACAAGATTCTATTCATGTTACATTATTACATTGACCTTGGCAATCAACTGATTTACCATCAGTTGCCATTTATTCATACCACTACCCTCCTCTTCCCTGCCATCCACCATCTTACCCATGTGTTACCTTCCTTAGTTGCATTCATAACCTTCTTCCTACACCTCTGTTTTTGTTCCGTCAACAAAAAAATAGACACAAAAAGTTGAAGTTGAAGAAATTAAAAAGAATAAGTAGAAGTTGTAAAACCGAATAAATTACTTTTTCCAAATAGATGTGTTTTTCTTGAAAAGGAAATAAAATGTGACCGAATATTGCTTTTGAAAACCTTTTTTTTGCGCTCATTTTTTTAAGCACTTCTATAAACCTGTAACGTTTGGCCAGCAAAAAAAACCAAACAGGGTTTAGTCCGTAATCTTCAAAATGTCCGCTTCTTTCTTGCAATTGAAATTTTCCCCTTCTGACAAGTATAAATGGCATCAAATATCCGCAACCAATGGAAGAACTTCCTCAAAAAAATGAGCATTCTTTTCACAGCCTCACTTCTTCTCTCCCAAAGATAAATAAAATAAAAGAAAACAAAGAAATGAAGAAATAAAGAAAAAAAAACCATGCCGAAAATTTCGAAAGGAATATGAGTATAAAGTTTAAGTGATCATCATTACTGACCACACTTTTAAATGATTTGTCGATTTCCATTCAAATCAAACCTTTCCTCAGCGTTCCGAAAAAAAAACTAACAAAAGAAAAGTTGAGAAATGAAGAAACAATAACCAAAAAAAAAGTCCCTTTGTTTTTTTTATAGTCTGAAAAACCATCACACACTTGCTGTAAAAAATTAAAAAATTATCAACTTTAAATCTCACAATTTAAACTTTACAATCGGTAAAAAATACAAAAAAAAAAAATAAAATAAAATAAAAAAAATACAGAAAAAAACCTTTAAATGTTAAACATATTCAATTAAAATCGTTGTTTTTTGAAAGTCAGGCAGGGAAATTGAAGTTTTTTTAACCAACTTTCTTCCTCAAATTCTGAAAGATTTATCAACATTTTGAACACAATAAAAACCCAAAAAAAGTTCACTACAAAAATAAGACTTCGTATAGCGCGAAAAAACAGAAAAAATATTCATTAGAACAATGCCGTATAACCGTAACGATCCAGCAAAAGAAAAAATAAATAAATGAATGCTTACAAATAAAATTACCTACTTTTTTTAGTCAAATCATTTTCCTAATAGTTTACATAAACAGATATGTACAATACGTAACGTCTGTATAGAAATTGCGTGTTTGCAGCAGCTAACAAAGCAAAATCAAAAGACAAAAGACAAAAGGAGAAGGAAAAGTAAGAGCGAAATAAAAAGGAAAACACTGAAATACAAAACAAGTGATACATACCTTTTGCATGATCAATCATTTTCATTTGATTGATGTATTGATCATGTAATTTGCCTAAACGTTTTGTATGTGCTTTATACAGTTGGGCATTCTCTTCAGCTAACGTTAATTCCTGCAAAAGA